ACTGCTTCTGGAGCAATCCAAAATTCAGCTCCCCTGTTAAACTTGCTTTTGTGTGTTTTAGATCCATTTTTCAATATTCGACTAAGGCCAAAGTCAGCTATCAGAAATTTGCCGTCTACGTCACGGAGAACATTGGAAGGCTTCAAATCCCGATGAAGAATAGGATCTGGGCCACTATGAAGATCAGCTAATCCATTCAAAATATTTCTAAGAAGATCTGGAAGAGCTTTTTGAAGATCACTTAAAGAAGAAGATTTCACAAACTTCTCCAGTGATTCCTCACATAAATCTATAATTAAATACACATAATCTGTTCCAGTATCTCCATCAAAGAAGTAATAATTGACAACATATTTGGACTTTTTAGCTTTAAAGTCATTTAAAATTTCCTTTTCATGCTGTGCAGGCTGGACGTAGTTATCTTTACGAATTCGTTTCACTGCTTTACCGTAACCATCCTGTGTCAGTCCAAGATAAACACGGGTTTCATCACTTCCTTTGCTGAGCCTAAACTTCTCCGAGAAAATTACACGTACTTTGCCCACATGTTTAATGTCTGCTCCGGGATAACACAATTCTGTCAACAGTTCTTTATGCTGAACTGAATGACCCATATATTCCAACTCTTGTAACTGCCATTCTTCAAATGACATAAAAGTATTACATTCAGAGGTGAGTGCAACAAAACTAATGAAATTCATAAGAATATGTACCTCAAATTTACTCAAATACCCTTAAATTTTGGATAACGACTTTAAATTTTTGTAAAATTTTAGCACCAATCATTAAAGTTGTCAAAAACTAATCAATGAAGCAAACATATACCTCTTAACATTAAAGGCAAGCGATACAGAAAAATGTCATCTGTCTTATTTCCATTGCCACTATCTTAAAACCATACAACAATGTCGGATTTGTACTGTCTTGTAAACCTTTCTTTTCATAATAGTTGAAATTATTTTGCCATTTAACATAAAAGATTCTTTTCTCCAACCCATCCACATACACTCTACATCAATCTGAACTTCTATTTCGTGTAACCTCATTACTCATTCCTCTACATTCTAGAGCATGATTCCTCTTCTCGTTGCATGAAAACATTGCAAATAGGCCAATGGTTAATTTACACTAACCCAAACCGTATGAATAGATAGTGTTTGTAAGAAAACTGCTAAAAATGAGCACTTTCCTAACTAAAGCTAAGACTTCGTCATTCATGATGATAAACAAGTAGAGGTTACCCTTGTCTTCCTTCAGTGTATTCATACACTTCCTATTCTTTGGTTTTTCTCTACGCTTCTTACTGTGTACAAAACTGATAATGGCCTTCACCCTATCTACGTAGGCCCTGTTTCCATGAGAACATAAAGAAGTCAAACTGGAATAAAATCAGAATTTGTTTCTCATTCGCGTAATGCCTCCTTTGCAGGCTAGTTTTACACTTGTTAGTCATTTTGCTTTTGTAATTTCCTTTTGGGCGCATGCGTTGATGCCATTTCACACCGGTTTGAACATTAATTTGAGTTTACATTAATGCCGGTTTCAATTCATACCGTTCTGAACTCAGTCGGATCAGTTCAGCAGGCGGTACGACTTCAGACCGCTCTGAGTCATTTTCGTAACGGTCCCATGTAAACATCTACTGTAAATAATATTATGACCCAAACAAGCCGGTACCGCGGTTAGACTTCGTTCCGGTCTGGTGTAAACAGAGCCATACTCTACTCTATGTCTACCTCTTATTCTTTAAAGGTGGTCTTCTTGTGTCTTTTTCATTTACATACATACGTCCATTCTGTGAATAATATTCATTCCTTATTTCTATGGATCAATATTTTGCATGTCACGTGGTACCTAGAAACTGTGAACATTGCGTACATAGTAACAGCAACAGTGTAGTGAATATACAGTAGAGCCACTCCATTAATTTTTTCATGAAACGCATATCTTATTATGCATGTGATTACCATAGTGGCAGCCAGTCAATTGCTTTTTTTTTGACCAATAGGAATGATAAAAGGGCTAACAGCAGCCAATAATCTAATTAAATATACAGCAGCAAGTTGTACACGATATAGACCTACTGTATGTTCCCTATACAGTTCACAGCTCTATCATATATTTCATACGGCAATGACTGTTTTGACTTTTTTGGGTATTGATGTGTTCTTAGGGCAGTTTCGTCACACAACTATCTTCTTAAATCGCTAAGAAATAACAGTCAATAGGTAAATGATAAAAATAGCGTCTAGTTAATGATCTTAGGAAACATAAAAAGAATTGGATTAGCTATGGCATAACTAATTTAAACATTCATTTAGACATAAAGTTGAATATGGTGCAAAATTTCACTTTTATTGTGCACGAAACTTTAAAAAATATACTTTATTATCAGTTTCCCTATTTTTCATCAGTTTTAAATGGCGAGAATCGTTGTTAGAAATACACAAAGCACAAAACGTTTTAACGATCGTTTCCATCCACACTATTCAGTATTCATATTTTCTAAAGTCGATTATAATTGACTATAGAAGCTAGCAACTATCTAGCTAAAAGAACCACTGCCTTTTATAACAAAATTAGAAAAGGTATTCGTATCATAAAGTTGCCAAAAGAATACTCGAAATTTTTTCAAAATAAAACAGTCAACGCTATATAAGAATATATAATAGAGCTGTGACAATGTACGCAATGTTTACAGTTTGTACCACGTGACATACGAAAATATAAGTGGCAAAAGTGGTGGATTCCAATCAAACCCATAAAAAACCTGTAATATAGATTGTAAAAATATACTTTGAGATATTTCACGATTGTATCTAGTCGATTGCAGTTCAGTTTATTTGTAATCATAAAATACGATATAGAATTTTTAGAATCGTCTATATGTAAATAATACTACAATTCGATAAATTTGTGATCAAGCTGAGACGACACACAGAAAATTTTAGTTTTGTAGATCAATTGTTAAGTGTCAGTCGTCTGAATTAAGAATAAAATTGCCCGAAAGGACTCAGATTCTAAACTGGAGGATGTATAACAGATCGCTAGATGCAATGGAAGATACCGACTTTCATAATAAACCATTAAAATGCCTTTTCATTATATCGCATTCCCATTTAGTATAAACAATTTTTTAATATCGTATCTTCCTATAAAGTATCATATTTAGTAGCACTAATCGTTTCGTACTGAAGATGGCATTTTGTTAATGTAGAAACATGTTTGTTTATAAAAAATCATCGCTTTTTTATAAGTTTTTTAAACTTGCTGCTAATCAGAAAATATGGGAAAAGTTTCATACTTATGCCATTGCATACATTTCGTACAGTTTAAAATTCGATATTTCTTTATTGACATTATTATCTGACCTGTGTTGTGATGTATGCTCATTGCGCACGTCATTTTCGAATTTGAAAACTATGCGTAAAATGTATTTAATATGAAACAAAATGTCTTTTTAGTGTGGAAACTTTGCTTCTACAAAAAGCAACAAATACAAATACTTTATTTCTCAAATCATGCATTTTTTTAGTTCAAATGTTTAAAAGCCATTCGTCATATAGCCATATCTATTTCTTATAAAAATGCAGAATATATGACTTCCTCGCACACAAGCGTAAAATTTCAACAGTAAATGATTACATGTTTCTCTTTCTGTTGCTTTGCCATAAATCATATCAAGTAAATAGGCAACAACACATCAAAGCACAAAGGTTGCCCTTGTTCTCTTTCAGCGCATCTCCTTGGTTTTCCTCTTACACATCACTCTCTGACACCTCCCTCTGCCCTCAATTAACATATTCTACTTTACCTTCACCTATACATCGATATGTTGTGTTTTTTCATACCTCTTAAGCATTCGTCATTTTGCTTATGTTGAAAGGTTTGCATTCAATTACTTATCATTTGTGAGTAACAAGGCATGAGTTTTACTTGCCGTCAATATTAGGGTTGTGACGCTCTTTCCTGGCTTCACTTGTTCCTTCATAAAGTCTTGCAGACGACGCTTCCATTGCATGCAAGACCTGTCAAATGAAAAAATGGTAAATAAATCAACAATAAATATTAAAATATCACTTGTTAACGTCCAAGACCTTGTGAAAATTTTTGCGACTTATGCATGATAGCAAAAAGCTGTTTCACGTGAATCACATTCAATGATTTGTTACATGAAAATGAGCATGCACCACTCTTATTGACCTCTCAAATCAGGTTTTTTACCGTCTCTAAGGTCTATTTCATCACTGTCTATCCCCAGTTTCAACTGCAATTCTTTGAAAGACATAAACTCAGTACATTTAGGGATGAGTTAAACTAAAACAATTAAATGCATAAGAGTTGCTCCGATTTCCCCAATGTACAATGAATTTCGATAGTAAATGTGCATTTTGGACGAAAAGGAGAGCAACAAAACTTAATGAATTATAATTCCAAACATATCTGATATACGATTAGAGGCAAGCTGACCTGAATTTAATCAAAAGTTTAGCTTGTGAGCTGTGTATAAAGCCTTGTGCGTATGATTTCAGCGTATTAAAGTTAAAGTTTTGGGAAATGTTTCTATTGTCTAAATTAATTTTTATTTTATAGCGAAAGATATAGTAGGTGCCATTGGTGTAAGTCCAGTTCAGAAATATAATGTCATTGTTAAGTGTCAAAGAAGGCGTCATTTGATTTTACTATAAATGCATAAAATATTTTACATAATGTAATCGACATTTAAATATTCATCATAATGTAATCAACAAATGACTTTTAACCATGGTGTCAATACACAAAAAATAGGCACGCAGTGTTTAAATGTGTGCGACCTGTCGTATAAATGGCTACAAAATAAAGTAAGTTCACAACCATAGTTCAAATAATAACGCCTATTTAATGTTATTTAAATCAAACATGTTTGAGATTTAAAAATGTGTTTTGTGCTCAATGTTTTACATCCCAATGATTTATACATAAACTTCTAGTCAATGTAGAAGAGATAAATGGGTCAGAAACCTATGCATGATTATGGCGCATACGATAACTTCGAAGAAGATGACTGACAAGCAAGTGTAGTTTGTTAAATTCATTTAGTGTTAAAAACTACATAAATCCTTAAAAATACGTACACCATTAGCTACTAGTTTATAGTTGACAAATTGAACAAGTTATTTAGTTGAACAATAGAAATATTCGTTTCCGAAAATTTCTTTGCGGACGTACGCTAGGAAATGACGTCTAGAAATAATCATTAAAAATTTAGGCTAATCGGGAAAAGTAAAACATTTTATTTTTCTTATACGCCTTCTTTACTAAATTATCTTTTTCTTGATAAATTTAAACGTCTTACAACGTTAAAGTGTAAGTTTATTGGAAATAGCTATAATGCTAAAATCACGATTTACGTGAAAACGAGGCTTAAGACCCGAAAACTTGCCCATATAACATCAATTTTTGAAATCATTGCCTCAATATTGACCTAATTTAGTTCAATGGACTTTACGGCCATTATTAACTGTTTACAATTCTTTTTCCGAAGAAATGTATTTAAAGAAAAAAATGCCCTTTTCCTGTCGGACTACCCTTTTTCAGCCTTTAAAAACCGCCTTTTAGTGCCCCCTTCAAATATCCTTTTACAAAATATCCTTCTCAATACCTTTTCCATGCCCTTTTTAACACTCCCTTTTCGCACTTAATTCATTTATACATTGTAGATACTGCCCTTTGTAATCACATCAAATTGTAGCTTCGTATCATACAAGCTAAAATCATGAAGCGGAGCACGCTGTTTTTTCTTTTAAGTAGATAACAATAATTAAGTAATGTGAATCTTCTACATTAAATCACAAACTGGCTTTGCTCTAATTACGATACCTTACAATACCGTACAAAGTTAGACAAAGGTTACACCAAAAAAGCTGTTTCTCGGAAGAAGGGCGAGACCAAGATTGAACGTGTGAAGACCTTCTCTGGCAGAATCGGTGATGGAAAGATCGATAACCAAAGAAAAAGACTTGGTGTTCAAGATAGGCGATATGATTATGGTTCGAGGTTACAGAAAGAATACAAACAAACCATCGTAGACTTGGAGAGTTGGACTTAAAAAATTAGGATTAGTCACTAACACAGTTCAAGTTCGCAGTATTCAGTGGAAACGAATGACATGTTAATCAGATGGCTAAATATGATATTAGTACTATAATCATACAACATAATTTACATCTACAAACATCCATATACATTTAACATTCCCTTTTACAGATTAAATTTGTTAGAACATTAAACATATGGACAAAATCAAAAAAGGGTATTGCACAAACAAAGTCACAGTAAAGTGATATATCAAACATTTGCAACTAAAGTATGGTTGCCTAAACTACATACAGGAATACACCTTCAGTTTTAAGGAAAGTACTCATGTCAGTCAAGTGGTTAGTGATATTTTGGTAGAATGGTAATAATCAAGAAATTAAGTACTACAGACTTATTGCTTAACTGCTTTCAGTAGAATGTGAACCTCATGACTTGAACATGTTTATCATCACATGATCAACTTATGATCTAGCCTGCAATTGCATCACCAAATATATGACCTATCTATAGACAAATATTTATAACTTAATATACAAATAATAGCATAAATTTTCAAAAATATAACACATATTCACATTTACACAGTGGGAGTCTTATTACTGTCATAAAGAGTGCGGTTTTCCACGTTTACTTATTACTGTACTGGTCAAACTTCAGCATGGGAAGCATAAATAATACACAACAGCTGCTATAGAGATTTTTTAAACATACTAAATGATATCTTGCAAATGTAAATTGAGCAGTCCCATATAAATTTTATGTACAATTTACTTACTTGCCTAAAAAGCTAAACATAACAATTCTTACTGACTACCATGATTGATTCATTTGGCTTACCGCTTAAGTTAGGCAAAAAATAGGCCAATGAGCACACACAATTTATAAAACTCATTGAAAAAGTAAGCTTCCAGATGATGTCAATTTTGAAAAATTTGTCTAGGTCAGGTGAAATAAATGTATACCTGTCAAATAGCTAGATCGTCTAATGAAGTTAGGCAAAAGTTGGCTTCTCTCTGTCTATCAAGAGCAGAGCTATTACTAAATTGATTACTGACTGGTCTACAAACCACATAACAATTAACTAATAAGTTTTTTGTTCTAGTATCTTTATAGTATAAAATCTAACTGAGATCAACGTGGGAATTTCACTATTAGCAAGTGTCTTAGTTTGCATACCCCTTGATCCGCCCCTGATTTCGATATTAAAAAAGTAAACAAAAACTGAGTTGAAAATTAACTATAAAAGTATGATCGCCTTGAGGTCATTTAAATAAGAGAAATGTCCCAATTTGGCTTGTAAACAGATTAAATGGGACCCGCAAGTAGTTTATCATGATTCACTATGTTTTGTCAAACAACTCAAAGTACTTAACATGTAAAATTTCGATCAATGAATCATCACAGACCTACATTGATATGGTCGCGCAAATTGCGACTCTATTTGTTTACATAAGCGTCCACAGCAAGCAATTAAATTTATGTTGGAGAATATTAAGGCTTTAAGCTATCTAGTCGTGCATTTTGTAGTACAATTACTGGGTATAACCAAAGTACGTGGTAATATATTTAATATTTGGGAATAAGCTAACACTTCGGGAATTCTTTGAATTTTAGGCGAGTCGCCGACGCCAAACATTTATTCTATTTATACTTTCTAGTCCATAATAATACATCCAGATAAATTATAATACGATCGAATAAATATGATTAAAATGCGATTTACATTGCAAACAATTTGTTGTAAACACTACACTGCGCTGTTGCTATAAATGTTTCAAAAATAGTTCTGACCTTTTCCCTTGCTCTATTCATGATAAAAACCATTTAAGTAAACTTACCCTAGTAAATGTTGTCAAGATTTATGTTTTATGACTAAATCACAGAGCTTGCACATTCAAATTGACGACGAGAAGATCAACATAACGCTTATTCTACCAGAGCTATGAGGCGCGAAACGGGACAATATTCGAACTCGTTTTATTTATATGCTAAACTTGAAAAATATATGCTAAACTTAAAAAATATATGCTAAACTTAAAAAATATATGCTAAACTTAAAAAATATATGCTAAACTTAAAAAATATATGCTAAATAAGGCGTTACAAAGAATTTCTGACCTAGAAAGGATAGCTAGGACTCCTAGTATATCTCAATTTGGAAGGGAAAGCGTTGCAATGTCAACAAATTGTAGTTCAACGGCTAATGCAACTACAAGTACGAGCGTCCCAGAGGAAATTTATCGACGGTTTCCAAGCCTACGTAGGCCTCAAGCATCCCCTGAAACATCAGTGTCCCGCACACGACGAAGAGAACAGCATTTTTACCAGGCCGCCACTGGTAGAAAAAAGTCAAGCACCAGTGCTCGTAGAAACAATAAATATTCAAAGCCTGTACTGAGAGACTTGGTTCTTATCCCCAATCCAGAAGAAGAAACTGTGCCCACGCATTCCACAAGAGTTATGTTGGATAGTAAAGGCTTTGTGGTGCACAGCTTTCCTTTTCAACGTGAGTGGGATACACAAATACTAACACGTAAACTTGCGGAGGCATTTCCGAAGTATTTGCTGTTATGCTTCGAGTACATGAAAGTAAGTTGAAAATGCGTTTAACCTACCATATGACTGCAATGAAATGGTTATCTGTACATCAAATTATCAGAAAAATGCCTGTTTCTTTAATTATAACTATAGAACTAAAAAATTTTTTGGTTCAATATCTCTAAGGACATTTCAGTTGAGTAGCATTTGTGTGAAAGCAAATTCGGAATGGATCATGAACTTCTCCATTTGTTTGACTGAATCTTTATTAACAGTAATGTAAATTTACATTAGGCATCTTATGGCAAACTCATCAAACCAAACCTTGCACCAGGAGTGGAAATGACTGGTAACCTTTTGCTTAAACTTTCTGGTCAAGGATCAGTCTACATTCGTTCCTATGAGTGTCTGGATGAAGATAGTGATTATGAGAGTGCTCTGGTGGATTCACAGAAGGCTGATAAGTCTAGTCCTACTCATGGTGAGACTTTAGACATCATTGAGCAACAAACAGTCATAGTTGACGATGATGCTCACCAGCAGATTTCTGAGGTTGGCAGTCAGTCAAATCTGTCAACTAATTTATCTGTTGATGTTGCTTATGACATTACCATCTCTGATGAAATGGATGCCATTGTAAATCCTGAGCATGGCAACGACTCCTTACCTCTTGAAACACAAGGTCAGGAAATATTGAAATTAAATTCAATCAGCATACTTTTATTTTTTTTAAAATTGAACATGAGCATTCTATTTTTTAGATCGACAACCATTCCAGAATGTTGAATATTCTGATATTCAGGGACCTTTAGAAATTCAAGGTAAATTGCAATGTTTTTAAATCAACATTTTCCTTATATTTTTTATGTTTAGACTTAGGGTATTGTGTATTTTGGTAGACCTACCAAGTAAACTACCAGTCAGAGAAGTTCTAATTCACAGAAGCCATGTTCTTAAGGATATCATAGATGAATTCAAGGATCCTGCTATTGTTGGCTGCACATTAAGTATTGCCATTGTAGATGAAAGGGGTAATATTGAAGATGGTAGAGGTTCTGGGGTTACACGTGAGGTTGTTAGCCTGTTTTGGCAACAGTTTTTCCCTGCATTAACAATGGGTGCAATATATTCTCTAAAAGTTGAATGCATGACAAATAAAGAAATGTTCCATCACTTTCATCATTTGCTGATTCATTGATATGTTGTTTTAACACAGCCCAAACTTCAGCTGAAGAAGTAAATAAAATTTCTGGAACAGCTACCTGATAATCACTGTCCTCAATTTGCAAAGGAGCATCTAAATCCATGTCAATCCCACTCCCCAGATTTTCATCATTATTCCCAACCATGCTGGTATCTGCAATGTATGCTCCACTTGAAAAAGTTCCCTGAACAAAAAGTTGGTCAGGACTTAGGTTTGACTCTGTGCTCACAGGATGTGAGTTCCATTGGGCAATAAACTCATCAAGTGCTCTTTGAATTCTAGGTATGTAGACACAATGAAGGCAAAACAAATGCAAATCATTCATAGCATCTAATATTCCTTCATTCTCCATTTCCGTGAAGAGTTTTACATAGTATGACAACACCCCTTCATAGACATCACGATGTAATCGCTCCACACGAACATTATGGACTGATTTCCCAGTAAGAATACTTCCTCTATTCAATCCTCTGTTATGCAACATAAAACGTGCAACCTCCACATTCTCTAGACCATGATCACACCTCACCCGAGATGGAAGCCCCCATTTCTGCACTCCTACTAGAAATTGTTCTTTCACTGTGGTGGCTAAGTTGTTGTTTGAACAATGCAAGTAAACAATTAAGCGACTGTAGCCATCTATACATGCATGAATTACCATTCTCCATGAAATTAATTTATGATTACCGTCTATGTGCCAAAGTGCATTTGGATAGGGCACGGAATACCTACGACGATAGACAGCTTGGTTCCATCGAAGAACTGTTCCCAATGGATCTATTGTTCTCATTATTTGACGAACTCTAAATCTTTGTACATGTATGCCACGGCTTCGAAGTGCACCAACCATACGCGTTTGACCTATATTTGGAGTTGTGAGTCTTACCTCTTGCATTACTTGGGTAAGGTCTCCATCACTTATATTGGTGTAAGGTTCATCGGTAATGCCCAATTGTTCTCTGTGTCTTTGAAGCGTTCGAATTGAAATATTAAGCAATTTTGCAATTCGTACCCAAGAAAATCTTTTTTCGCGAAGGAATTCTATTTGGCTTTTTTGTACAGTGTAACGCGGACGTCCTCTCCTGCCCGTGCGTGTTAAGGGGCAGGTATAACCTGTGCCAACTGCTTCTGTGCTGTTTCTTAGAATGTCACACTTGTGTTTGATATTATCTTTGATTTGATTTGCATAAACTAAAAATTCATTGAATAAACTTTGCACTGTCCATGTATATTCCCTTCCTTCTGCTAGCAATGAAAAAGACGAACATATTTCCTCAATACGAGTTTCAAGTACTTCGAACTGGTCTAGAGTCTGAGAGGCTGTATTACAAGCAGCACGAACTTCCACAATTACTGATTTCACAGATTGTAAAAACGAAAGAAATTCTGCATCGAAAACAATTTGCCCGACTCTTCGATACACGGGCATGTCAACATACTGACACAGTTGCGAAATTATCATGCATAAATTTGCATTAAATAGAACCAATTTTTAAAGTTTAGCAAATATTTTTTAAGTTTAGCATATATTTTTTAAGTTTAGCATATATTTTTTAAGTTTAGCATATATTTTTAAAGTTTAGCATATATTTTTTAAGTTTAGCATATATTTTTCAAGTTTAGCATATATTTTTCAAGTTTAGCATATATTTTTCAAGTTTAGCATATATTTTTGAAGTTTAGCATATATTTTTCAAGTTTAGCACATAAATAAAACGAGTTCGAATATTGTCCCGTTTCGCGCCTCATACAGAGCCATCTATATGTAAGAGTTGGGACCGCAAAGTTGGTGTATTCTGAGTTCTGTGGTGGTACACGTATTGTTCTCTGCATTCTGCATGATGAATGGGTAAATACGGTCACGTGGGTCTCTCGCCGCCATTTTTGTTCCGAGAGCGCAATAGAAAACTATAGTTTACAAAGAGTTAAATTACAAAAAATTCGGTTTTCTGTTGTGCGTTTATTTTGCCAATGGAAGCAACGAAGGATATGAAACGTACGCCCTGGTGGCAAGCACAGTAGCGAAGTGGCTCTGTGCAATTAAGAGGAAAGATTTCAATCCCACTTGCTCTATCAGATTGCATTCCAGTCGCGTATGTCAAAGTATTTTTCATGGAATTTTGATTTTTTTTATAAATTTTTGTTAAATATTGGTGTATCTATGCGAACAATATACGTAGAATGCATACAGACCACTCAGCTTTTCAGGAATGCCTTATGTATTTTGTTCTGTTGCTACATTTTGAAAATAAAATTGAATTTTGTTTAATGCAATGATTGATTACTTTTTTCAATTTTATTTGTACTAAATAAGTTATTACATGCATGTAAAGAATACAAGGTCATCCTAAAGGGACACTATATATATTCTCTATGTTAACTCTTTACTGCAGTTTGCACACATAGAATTTCATATTGAAGTACAGTGAGATAATTTTTTATTGTGTCAGATGAAAGCAGGTGTTAGCTTACTTCTTCATTAAAAACTTTTTTGGTAATATTAAGATCAAGCATATCAATATCATAAAACAGGCATATGAACAATCTGAAAGATAATGTCACAAGTTATGTGTTAGGTGGTACACAGGCAGTTTTATGGGAGTATGGTGTATCTTCCAAACTTGTTTCCAATGAAGTGCCAGGCGGGAAGCTGATTCTCAATATAAATATTAGAGCCCAACAAATAATTTTAAACAAAGTCATAAACAATTTGCTTTTATGAAATGTACTAAAAGAGTGATGTTTTGTCCTTACTCAAGACATTTTCAGACTAATTAAGAAGTTAACAAGAATATAGATATATATATATATATATATAGCTGTTTACATAGTTTGAGGTATCAGATTACTGTGAATGTGTAGGAGTGATGTGATGTAAGTGTGTTGTAAGTGTGATGTATTGTTAGGGAGAGGTGTTGAGATTAGAAAAGCTTAACAGTTATGGAGCTGCCTTGGGTGTTAAGTGAAGGTTTTTAGTTTGGAGATGAAGAGGCTTTTGTGTATCATGAGGTCGAATGTGTCGGAGCAGGATGAGATGATTTTAAAATCGTCTGGCAAAGCAGGGTTGTTGGTGGAGTTACTATGAGAAAGAATACTTGACATTAATGGATTAGTATTGCGTTTTCAGTCAAAGGAGAGAAAACACCATTAATGTCAAGTATTCTTTCTCATAGTAACTCCACCAACCACCCTGCTTTGCCAGATGATTTTAAAATCATCTCATCCTGCTCCGACACATTCGACCTCATGATCCACAAAAGCCTCCTCATCTCCAAACTAAAACCTTCACTTAACACTCTAGGCAGCCTCATCCCTCTTAAGCTTTTCTAGTCTCAACACCTCACCCTAACAATACATCACACGTACATCACACTTACATCACATCACACCTACACATTCTCAGTAATCTGATACCTGAAACTATGTAAATAGCTCTATATATATCTATATTCTTGTTAACTTCCTAATTTGTCTGAAGATGTCTTGAGTAAAGACGAAACGTCGTCATTCTTAATAAATTTCATAAAACCAAATTGTTTATGACTATGTTTAAAATTATTTGTTGGGCTCGAATACTTATCTTGCAAACTTTTAAAAAAATGTGAACAGTTGTTGTTATCCAATTCATGCCCAATCTTGTTGTTAAATTCTAATTCATGCCAGATGTTCCACTCTTGTTAAAGAATTGTTAACTCGAGAATAAGTTAGTTGCCCCACAGATTATGTGGTTTGTGATGACAACCTACCCAATGATGTTTGTTACAACATGCAATGTGCAAAGAGCTGGTAGATAATGATGCAATTCATGACCTGAAAGTAAAACAACACTTGGACTGTAAAGTAATTGAAATCCAGAGTGGATTTTAACAAATTTTAAGAAAGTTGAGTTTAGCCAAGAATTTATTTTCATGAAAAACATGAGCAACAATCCAATGTGTGAGTCAAGAGAAAATCACAAGTGAAGAAGCATCAGCAACAGCTTGGTTTTGTAACTAAACTAGTTTTTGGTATAACTTGAGATCTACATCTACTGGTTTCATTCAACTGGTGAGTCATTGCGTTCACAAAATAAAAATAATGCTGCCAAGTTAACCAAAATTCGCCAAGTGCACATAGGGGTCCGGGTTCCGTATAAGTTGCCATAAGACATAAGTTGAGTAAATGGTACACGTACATGTTAATGTCTTGTACGTGGTGTAGTGCGTTTTAAAACACGTACAAGACATAAACATGACAATAACTGGGTGAGGAATATTTCTTCCCGCTCATTAGACGAAACTAAAACACGACTACTATCTTACGGACTAAAAGTTCCAAAAGGATGTTTACCTTTCGTGGCAACGTAGAAAGCCACCATTCCAGCATTCTGAAATGATAAACAATGTAAAAATGCCAAAAAGTAAATTTATTTGTACTTTGCAAATAGTCATATTCCTATACCAACCATTACATCAGACTCTTTCTTGTAACGTCCTTTATCAACTGTATCTTCATCTTCACAATATGATTCAGGTGCAATCCAATACTCAGTTCCCCTGTTAGCCCTGCTTTCATATGTCCTCAAACCATTCTTTAACAGTCGACTAATCCCAAAATCTGCTATCAGAAACTTACCTTGAGAGTATCGGAGAACATTGGAAGGCTTTAAATCTCGATGAATAATAGGATTTGGACCGCTTATAAGATTAGCTAATCCTCTCTGAATTTGTTTGAGAATATCAAGAAGAGCTCTTCAAGGATCATGTAAAGTAAAATACTCCACAAACTTCTCCAACGATTCTTCACATAAATCTAATATCAAATAAACATATTCCATTCCAGTATCCTCTATTAAGAAGGAATATTACATGTCTTATGCGTTGAATTTGTTTAAATTGTTTTTGTTGGGCAAGCTCGATGAAGTTATCTCGACGTATTCGTTTCACTGCTTTGCAATAACCATCCTTTCTCAGTCCGAGAAAAACACGGGTTTCATTATTTCCTCTGACGATACA